CCTGCAGCCTCGGCCGAGTGCAGCAGCCTCCAAGGTTCTGTTCCTGACCCGGTTTCCCTCTGAGGTTCTGTTGGGTTTGTTCCAGAACTTTCACAGAACATCCCGGCTGCAGCACAAAACAAGGAAACTATGCCAAAATGTTTGGCTGGAGTCTCCAGAGCTTCTGAGAGTTTCACAGGAAAACGTGGAGGAAGGAAAAACTGCAGCTCAGCCTGAAGATTTTCTGAAAGAAGCAGCTAACGGTTTATTTAAAGAGTTTATTCATGTAAACCCAACAGTGCTGATCTGATCAGGCTGCTGGCTGCAACATGTTTTCCCTCCACTAAACTTTCCATCAACCTTTAGAACTTTTAGCAGCTTCCTCTCAGAGGAATCAGAACTCTGATTAATTCTGCTTCCGATTCAGAACCAGAACTATAGGCGGTTTGGTACCAGTTTCCTCCATCTCCCACGTTGACCTCTGACCTGTGTTTGTCCTGCAGAGAGACGAGCTGAAGTGCCCTGCCCTGCCCAACGCCTGCACCTGCACGTCGGAGGCCAGCGGCCAGCCGGGCCCCCAGGGTCCAGTGGTGAGTCAGCGCTCAGGCCCGGTTCACAAACCCGGCAGAACCGGCGGTTCTGGAGACTCCGGAATCGGACCAGAACCAATGATGCAACCGCTCAGAGAACACAGGAAGGAGGCAGAACAAGAGCTAAGAAACACAGCTGCAACATGCTGCAACTTCTGACTGGCAACTTGTTGCCTCCGGTTGCTGCAACTTGTTGCCTCCGGTTGCTGCAACTTGTTGCCTCTGGTTGCTGCAACTTGTTGCCTCTGGTTGCTGCAACTTGTTGCCTCTGGTTGCTGCAACATGTCGGTGTGTTGCATCATTCATGTGTTCATGGCGTGATTCCAGTCCGCTCCGTCCACCTTCACATGATGCAGCAACCTGCTGCAACTAGAGGTTGCTGCAGCAGGTTGCTGCAGCAGGTTGCTGCAGCGGCAGGTTGCTGCAGCAACCTGGCCTCCTGCAGCTCGCTGTGTGTCCCCGCAGGGCGCTCCCGGGAGTAAGGGGCCCCGAGGTGAGCGAGGCGAAGCCGGAGCTCCGGTGAGTTTCTCTGATCAAAGATCCTCTCCGCTGCAGGACGCTCCACTCGTTACATGTCTCATGCTGCTCTCTGTGCCTCAGGGGCCGGCAGGGCCGCCAGGAAACATCGGACCCCCGGGGCCCATGGGTCTGCCCGGCCCCCAGGGGCCCAGCGGCATGTCCATCCCTGGAGAGGCCGTAAGTCCGACTCACACACCTGGACTTCCTGTCCGATTTTAACATCCATCAGTTTTCTGTGAAACCGAATAAAAAGAAGATTCTTTACTGTGGTCATAAACCCCTCGGTCGGTTCTGCCCCGGTCTGTCGGTTCTGACCCGATCTGTCGGTTCTGACCGGTCGGTTCTGACCCGATCTGTCAGTTCTGTCCAGGTCTGTCAGTTCTCACCCGGTCGGTTCTCACCCGGTCGGTTCTGACCCGGTCGGTTCTGACTCGGTTGGTCGGCCTGTTCTGACCCGGTCCAGTTTTTCCTTCCACTAACTGCAGGCAGCAGACTCTCCTCCATGTTGGTCCGAATCGTTTAAACCCGACCGGTTTTCAGAGGATCAGAGCTTCAGAACCAGAACCGCTGCTGTCAGACTCAGAGGAATTTATTTTGTAATTGTCAGTTTGATCATGAATCAAGTTTTTCGGGATGAAGTCATCATATTCCTGACCGGACCGGGTCGAACTGGGTCAGATCGAACAAGACTGGGTCAGACTGTTTGGGATGAAGTGGATCTGATCCGATTAGGAAAAGGAAACCTGAGGAACGTTCCTGATGAAAAGTTAATCAGGAAATTCCCAGAAATTCCCTACAACTACCAGAATTCAAAGGATCGGGATTGAACCTGGATCAGAACCGGAAGAGTCCTGCTGTCAGTGAACCGGGCGGTTCTGATCTGACTCCCTGTGCTCTCCTCCTCAGGGCCGGCCGGGACCGAAGGGAGACCCCGGAGACTCTGGCCTTCCGGGACAGAAGGTAAGCCCGGTTCTGCTCCGGTTCTGGACCGGAAGCAGATAAAACTCGTGTTCTGACAACCGGACCGGATCCGGGCAGGATCTGGACCGGACCACACCCAGAGTGTGAGGGATTCCCTGGCCAGGTCCAGAATGTTCTGAGAGGCAGCAAAACCAGAACCGGGTTAGCTGGGATTTTAAAGTTTAAGTTTTCGTTATGAACACAGAGAGAATTATTATTATTGTTATTACTATTGTTATTACTATTGTTATTACTATTGTTATTACTAT